ATAAACGCTTAAAATTTATTCATCTCGTCATTCCTGCATTTTTTTTATTTATTTGTTTGTTTTGCTTCGCGTATAAGGAACTGTAATCAATGGCATCCAGTGATTTCCAGGATTTGTGGCATTCGTAGTTCGATTGACATTTTCAATTTTAGTGAGAGAGAGAGAGAGAGAGAGAGAGAGAGAGAGAGAGAGAGAGAGAGAGAGAAATTGGGGAGAGAGGGGAAGAGAAAGAAGTGGTAAGAAAGAGAAGAGAGAGAAGACGGGGAGTGAAGGGGAGAGAGAGAGAGAGAGAGAGAGAGAGAGAGAGAGAGAGAGAGAGAGAGAGAGAGAGAGAGAGAGAGAGAGAGAGAGAAGTGGGGAGAGAGGGGAAGAGAGAGAAGTGGTAAGAAAGAGAAGAGAGAGAAGACGGGGAGTGAAGGGAAGAGAGAGAGAGAGAGAGAGAGAGAGAGAGAGAGAGAGAGAGAGAGAGAGAGAGAGAGAGAGAGAGAGAGAGAGAGAGGAGTGGGGAGAGGGACCGAGGTAGGCCGTACGACATTTAACTCCGTGTATGTCACAGAGCTTCGCCTGACAGGGTGAAGGTTCCAATACTCCGCCTCAGCCTGCCTCGAGAGGAGCGCTCTCTCCGGCGGACACCTCGGGAGCTCTCATTGCCGGTGTGGATAGTGAGGTGAACGGTAATATCTCAAACAGAATTGAAAGCTCGAGAGATGTGAAGTACAGGTGAAAAGAAGAGCATTTGATTTCTCACTTGATTGCGTAACTTTGTTGGTATGTCATGTCTGTACTATGGATAAGGCAGTATGTAAAAGGAAATAATATTGCTTTTCATACTGTTATGATACGAGGCAGCCTGCCAAAGCTGTTAGGTAGTCGTCACCTGTGCCTCCTTCCATTTCACTTGGCGTTTTTCTGTAACTGAATCGTTGTAATGGTTCATGTAACTACAATTCAATCAGGGTTTCCTTCGTGGTGTTGTATATTGGAGAGTTAGATAGCCAAATAGCTGCAGGTATGCCAGATTATCGACTATTGTACGTCTGGCAGTGATCCGTAGCTACTCCAGACACGTGAATGTATAAGATGGGGGGGGAAAAGTGTCGTACAGTATATGCGGCCGAGATTTAGTGTATATAAATAAACAAAAACAAAAACAAGAGAGAGAGAAAAAAAATAAACTGAATCCTTGTTATCAGCTTCGCCAAGGCCAAGCACCAGAAGTCCGTCTGAGAATTAGAACGCTGTCATTTGGCCAGCTGAGCATAAGCCAAACAGTGCCACAATAAAGGTCATTCAACCATGAGTGCCAGGCAGACTGCAAGGTTGGAGGCAGCGGAGGTGGGTCAGTATAATTGCATGGAACCCTGGAGATCACCGGCGAAATGACTCCAATCGTCGTGTTTCACAGAAGAAGCGAAATTGCAGTCACTCTCTTGAAGACGTCGCGGAACTGAATTGAAGGACAGTTCGTTGACTGATCATTTCGCTTTTTTTTCCCTTTTCGCTCGTTTCTCGCTGCGATAAAGAGTACGAAGTCATTGATGGGAAGATGATTGAGGGGATCTTGCCAGCGGGCATGCAGGCGGAAGGGGGGGGGGATAAGGAGAGCGGGATAGGAATGCAATTGACCTGCGGCTCTTGGGTCATGGGGAAGGAACGAAGGTCTCTCTCTCTCTCTCTCTCTCTCTCTCTCTCTCTCTCTCTCTCTCTCTCTCTCTCTCTCTCTCTCTCTCTCTCTCTCTCTCTCTCTCTCTCTCTCTCTCTCTCTCCCCTCTCATTCTCCTATCCTCCCCCTACTCTTCCTCCTTAAATCTTCTCTTCCCCCTTATTTTCCCTTCTTAATCGCTCGTCCTCTTCCTCGCTCCCTCCCTCCCTCCCTCCTTCACATTTTCTCTCCCTCCTTCTCTCCCTCCCTCCCTCACACCTTCCTTCGCTCCTTCTATCCCTCCCTCCCTCCCTCCCTCCCTCCTTCCCTCCCTCCCTTCCTCCCTCACACCTTCCTTCGCTCCCTTCTATCCCTCCCTCTCTCCCTCCCTCTCTCCCTACCTCCCTCCCTCCCTCCCTCTCTCTCTCTCTCTCCCTCACACCTTCCTTCGCTCCCTTCTCCATCTACCTGTCTAGCGTGAATGGGGATGCAAGACGCAGGAGTGGGCGGGGCTAAGGAGGCGGATGGTGTGGGAAGACGCAAACTTTCACTCCCTTTTTGTGTGAGTTTGTGTCAAGGGTTTCGGAGCGTGGGCCCTCCGCGCGGTGGCCAATACTGGAGAATGTGGAGCTCTTGGATCACTAAAGGGGCCATATATGGTGCCTCCGTCCAGTATAGTGTCGTAGTGTAGCAGATGGTGTCTCGCTTCCACGTGGAGCCTCCCCTTAGGCGGGGAATTGGTCAGACTCATGGTCGCTTTAGGCATAGCAGGTGGAAGACATACGCCATAGCGGGCCCTTACATAGTATGGTGCGATCTTTGGATTTCTACGTAAGTTATAGGAGCCTGTGATGACTAGGGTGGAATGACTGCGCCTTCGTGGTGCCTTTTTCATGTAGTGCTAATGATCTGGGAATGAGGCCAAGTGGTACTCCCCTTCTCTTTCTCCCTCTCCCCCCCTCCCTCCCTCCCTGGAAGCTCTTTCATACCCGTTGCCTTGGTACTGGTATTTCCATGGGCTTGTGACGGCGCCCTTCTGCCTTAACAGGAAGCGAGGGTCTCCTGACTCCGATCCAGGAGGAGAGGGTGCGTCAGGGGAAGCCTCCGTCATCACCGCCGCCCCGGGTTTCTAGGGCGCGGTGAAGAGGTGGGAAGCGGTAAGGGGATAGAGGTGGGTTGGAAATGGGTTGGGGATGCGGTTGGAGGTGGGTTCGGGGGGGGGGGGGGGGAGGCAGAGGGAGCGGACCGTCGACGGGCGGTTTGTGACGGGTATTGGCTAATGCTAAATCCGTGTTGGAAGTGCCATAGTGAGTCGCACACGTGAAGGGTCAAGGCAGCGTTGGCGGGACTGTGGGGGGAGTTCGAGGAGGGGGGAGGGGGGGCAACCCCATGCTAAATGCAACCCGAGAGAGCAACAGATGCCACACAGCCGGAGGTGACAGTAGGGGACGAGGGTATTTGCTTGGTGGCTGTTGCTGAAAAAGGGATCAGAATTGCGTCACGCACAGTCGCGCACACGTCCATGCATATATAGACAGACACACACATCACCCACTTACACACACACACACACACACACACACACACACACACACACACACACACACACACACACACACACACACACACACACACACACACAGACTCACACTCACACTCACTCAGAATCACAGTTATTCATCTTACTACTATTACATCTACAAATGTCTAATTTGACTGCTCTTTAGAATCACTCAAGTGTTGCTCTAAAGAAAGAAAAAGACCCGCGATAGCAGTTAGTGGCACACAGTAGCATGCAGTGCCACAATGAAGGGGCTAGTGACAAATAGCAGCAGGTGACACACAGGAAGAGCAGGTGGCTTTTGCTCGCTGGGAGGGAGTGACCCAGCGGGGGTGGGGGGGGGGAGTGGAGGGAAGAGGGGGCGGGAGGGGGGGGGGGGGGTAAGAGAGTAACGCTAGGGAGGAGAGAGAGAGCAGTGCGGCACATGGTGGCACTCTCGAGCAACAGGTGAACCTTCTTCGGCAGGGCAAGCGCAAGGGGTGCCAGGGGGGGGGGGCGTCATGTGGTGCCAGGGGGTGCCAGGGAGAGCCGACGTCATAAGGATTCAGTGAAAGGGAGACATGGCGACAGAGGAAGAACGCGTGCGGGGAGACCTTTGCTCTCGCTCGCTGTCACGGAATGACATCCGAATGACAACGAGGGGGTTCGGGCCGCAGACACCGAAGTAGGCTCGCTGCGGGTGCCAGTAATGGTGATGGCGGTGGTGATGAGGATGATGATGTTGCTCCTAATGACATGCGGGCAGGCGAGACTTGTGATTAATGATGCAGTAGATTAGATCGTTGCCGTGAGCGATGATTGTGTTTTAAAATAGCGGTGATGATGATTGTGGTCTTGATGAAATTGGGAATAGATCAAAGAAATAAAAAAATAAATAAATAAATGAAACTGAGAGATATTTACGTGTTTATCTCCCTTCAATGGCCCATAATGAATGATTGTTTTCGTATCACAAGAGAAGGAAAATACAATTAACAAACTATTTCACTTCACCCCCTCCATTAGTCAAGCCGCCCGCCCTTGCAAAAGGCCCCTTGCATCATTATTTTTATGTAGATATGTATAATCATGCATCGACAGCGCATCTAAATGACGTCAAGTGGTCACGTGATCACCCCCCCCCCCCCCACCAAATTGGAGAATGACAGGATCTACTGGGTGAGTGACAGCCCCTCCCCCTCCCCCCTCTTTGCTACGTCCCTCGTGACCTTGCTTTAAACAAAGGAAATTGAAAGCATACAAACACTCGTGGCTTTAATGATGTGGGAAAGGTGATTGTGTCCACTCGCTCGGTTTAAATGGTTGTATGGGCAGTGCGTACGGCTCCTTTTCATTTTGCTAATGGTCGGTCTTATTATTATTATTTTTATTGTGATTCTGGTGTCACTGTTATTGATTACACACACACACACACACACGCACACACACACACACACACACACACACACACACACATATATATATATATATATATATATATATATATATATATATATATATATAAACACACATACACACACACACACAGACGTGTGTGTGTGTGTGTGTGTGTGTGTGTGTGTGTGTGTGTGTGTGTGTGTGTGTGTGTGTGTGTGTGTGTGTGTGTGTGTGTGTGTGTGTGTGTGCGTGCTACCGTTCGTGCGTGTGCGTATGTCTACATGCATGTTAATTCTTATGACGCCATTGGTGTCTTCAAGGAGAGCAGTAGCGATAACGTTTAACAGTGTGTGTCCGTAATGCCACAAAACATGATGAGTGTCAGCGCGAGGCGCAGCTAACCCCCTCTCCTCCCCCCAGAGTGTGATGGTGACCGCATGACGATGGACTTCCCGCGCAAGTCCTCCCGGGGCCGCGGGATGCTGGGGCCGAGGCCACCGCAGACCCACGCCATGGCCAACACCCTCGTCTCGCCCAGGATGGACCACTCGCCCTCGGACTCCTTCATGGACGGGTCGCCCCTGGGGATGGGTGTCTCCCCCTTGTCACCTGGGGACGTGGCGATCAAGACCGAGCCTCCCCTGTCACCGACGGCGAAGAGACCGCGGCCGGAGCGGGTGGACTGGGCCCCCTCCCCCAGCACCCTCAGCATGGAGTCGCTCTCGCCGCCGTCCTTCCCCTCCAACGGCATGGGCGCCATGGGCGGCGGACAGCCCTCCAACGCCGGCTCGCCGCTCTCGTCCTCCAGCTACGACCCCAGCTCCCCGTACCCTCCGAGATCAG